GATCATGACCTGAGCTGAAGGCAGAGGCTTTAACCCACTGAGCCACCCAGGCGCCCCTTGACAATTTTTTATTAGCTTGCCTTTTTGTTCCTTTCTTCTCTTCCTTCCTTCCTTCCTTCTTTTCTTTCTTCCTTTCTTTCTTTCTTCCTTTCTTTCTGTTTCATTCTTTCTGTTTCATTCTTTCTTTTCTTTCTTTCTTTCTTTCTTTCTTTCTTTCTTTCTTTCTTTCTTTCTTTCTTTTCTATTAGCTTTCTTGACTCTCCACCACAGAATGGCAAGAGACAGATCTGGTGTGAGTATCATTTCAGACCCACCGCTACAAACCTAGAGCAAGGGAGACAGGCAGTGTGGGAACAGGGACAGCGAATGTAAACAGGGTAGTCAGGAGAGACCTCACCAATAAGACAACCCTGCTGAGAAACCTGAAGGAGGTGAAGGAGTGAGTGGGCCTTGCAGATGTATGGGGAAAGGTGTTCTAGGTGGAAGACACAGCTGGGTGAAGTCCCTCTGACAGGAACCTGGCATGTTTTAAGGGTCTTGAGGAGGCAAAGGTGAGTGGAACAGAGAAGAGTACAGATGCAAGCCTGGAGAACGGTGAGATGAATGTGGGAATGGAGGTCAGATGGCATAGGCTTTGTGAGCCACAGAAGGCTCTGGCCTTTACTCTGAGTGAGATGGGAGCCATGAGAGGGTGTAAGCTGAGAAGTGAGATGATCTGACGTGCATGTTCACAGGAGCTCTGTGCTGCCATGTGGAGGACAGACTGTGGGAAGCAAAAGTGGAAGTGAGAACCGCTTCAAGATGGTGGCAATCAAGGTGGGAGAGGATAGAGACTTGGCCCGTAGATGTGACAAGAAGTGGTCAACCAATAAGACTTGCTGACAAACATGATACAGGATGTGAGAAAGGGAGTCAAACATTACTCCCAGGATTTGGTCTGAGAAACGGAAGAGATGAATTTGTTACTAAAGGAGATGGGACAGATGAGGAAGGAAGGGGTTTGGGTTTGGAAGTGTTGGGTTTGAACTGCTGGTGAGACATCCAGTGGAGAGGCTGAGCTGGCAGTCCAATATACCAGAGTTCAGGAGACATGTTTGAACTGATGCATGGTGTTCAGGGCCACAGGACTGGGTGAAATTTAGTGAGTGCAGAGGGTCAGGCACTGAGCTCTGGGTCACTCTGGTATGGAGAGGACAAAAAGCAGAAAAGGAACCAGTCAAGGAGATTAAGTCGGAACACCAGTGAAACAGGAGGAAAATCAAAGGAGGTCCGCTATGCTAGAATCCAAGAGAAGAAGTTGTGTCAAGGAGGAAACAATGCCACATGCTGTTTATAGGTCATGAGGACTGAAAATTAACAACGTGAGGTCATTCATGACCTTGACGAGACCAGTTCACTGGGATGAAGAAGATGAAATCCTGACTGGAAGGGATTAGAGAGAATGGAAGAAGAAATGGAGCCAGTGGGTAACAGCTTCCTCTTTGGGGTTTTGTTGCAAAGAATAGAGAAATGGGTGGTAACTGATGGAAGAAAGAGGAGAAACAACAGAATGTTTGTATTCTGACAAGAATGATCTAATAGAAAGAAGTGAGGTTGGCATATGGAAGAGGGGAGATTGGATGGAGCCATGTTGTTGGGTTGGTGAGAGATGGAAGTTCTGGTGCAGGGCTGAAGGGATTTTCTAGGGCAGAAGCATGTATGAACTAGAAGGTTCATCAGAATCATCGGGAGCATGGATTAAAGCACAGCATACTGGGCCCTACCCCCTCAACTTGTGATTCAGTAGGTCTAGGTGGGGCCCAATCTGACAAGCTCCCAAAGGTGCTGATGCTGCTGGCCCACAAACCAGGCTTCAGGAAACACTGATCTACAATGTGTGAGTGGATGTAGTGAAGGGAGTCTGTGATGTTTCATTCTGATTGCTTCAACTTCCGCAGTCAAGTAGGGAGTCTTTTTTTTTTTTTTAAGATTTTATTTATTTGACAGAGACCGAGACAGTGAGAGAGGGAACACAAGCAGGGAGAGTGGGAAAGGGAGAAAGCCTGCTTCTGAGCAAGGAGCCCGATGTGGGGCTCTATCAAAGGACCCTGGGATCATGACCCAAGCTGAAGGCAGACGTGTAACGACGGAGTCACCCAGGCACCCCAGGAAGTAAAGTCTTAACTGAGAGTAAATGTGGGATCTGAGGTGCTGGAGCTTTCAGGAAAGGGAGAAGAAGGTATGAGATGATTAATCTCGTGAGTGGGAAAGTGAATAGCGGGGAAAATGTCGGTGATTCCCCTCCTGAGACTGATGATCGTGAATTTAAAATAGGACCCTAGTTGCATGTTTCTTCCCAACCACTCTAAATGGCACAGGAGCAGGTAGGTAGTAAAGAGTTGTATGTAACCCGGATTGTGGTTTGTCAGTTAAAATGGATGAAATGAGAGAAAAGGGCAGGGAGTTGATGGTGACGATAAGGTGGAGGGGGATTGTGGCCAAGCATGGGATAGGAGAGACATGAGGCAAGGTGAGGTAAAATGAAAAGTAGATACACTTTTGTCCAAAGTGGTTGCTTTCTTCTCAAAGTCTTACCCAACCTGTTTTTCCTCCTCGCTTCTCTGGACTTCTGCTGGATGTTCTTCCAGCCTCAGATGCTTATCTTGTGTTCTGTTCTCTGGAGCACTCATCAATACATGACGAATTTGTCTCTCCACCAGAACTGGAGTCCCACTGAAGGCAGGAGCTTTTCATTTTCTGCTGTCCCCCCAAGTGCCAGCCCTCCCCACAATATCCCCCTTATCCAGCCCTGGCTTCCTCTTCACCCACCTGACCAGATCATGCCCTATACTTCCTTTGATTTAGAATGCCGTCATCTAAAAATGGAATGCCTAACTCTTCAGGTTGAAAGGCTTTAGGGGAGAAGAAATCTGGAAAAGTTTGGATTCCAGAAGAACAAGTTTAGAACATGCTTCTGCCAAGTTGTTGTTGTTAAGATTTTATTTATTTATCTGACAGAGAGAAATCACAAGTAGGCAGAGAGGCAGGCAGAGAAGGAAGGAAGGAACCAGGCCCCCGCGCTAAACAGAGAGCCCAATGCGGGGCTCGATCCCAGCACCCTGGGATCATGACCCGAGCCGAAGGCAGAGGCTTAACCCACTGAGCCACTCAGGCGCCCCCCAAGTTGCTTTTGATGACAGAGATGTAGGCCCTTGGGGTGCTGCTCATCCCAGGATGCTAAAGCCATTCAAATTGGATTGTCATAGAAGACCTGTGTCCTTCTTTAGCAGACCAAAATAGAAAATCCATGGAAATGTGATGGGCAGGGGTTAAAGGAGGACACTGCAGATGATTTGATATTATTCCATTTTTGTAAAATAATTTAAAATTATGGGGATTATATATATTTAAGGATATACACATTCTACATATATATTGAGTATATGTCATAAAGCAAAATTTTTTTAGAAGTTTAGAAGGGTAAACAGCAAACTACTACACCAACATATACACCTTTTTACGCTATATATGTAACTATCTGGTTTGTTTCTTTCATCAGAAAAGCACTACTAGTTAAAATGAATTTAAATCCCTGCAGAAATCATGTATCAACAAGCTTCCTCTTTCCAATGAGGAAATGTGTGCAGAGCAATTCGCTGACTTGCCAAATATCCCAGAGCACTAATGTTGGAGCAGACTGCCTAGCTAGGAGTGAGAGCTGCCACTGTAAAGCAAGATGAAGAGGAAAGGGGCTCCTGTGGTTTCCACCAAGTAAGAAAAAGGAAAGCATAAAAATACAATACAGAAAGGGCAATCTTCTGGGTAGATGCCGCTCTTCTCTTCTCGGAGAACCCTGTATCTCCCAAAACTCCAAACAATACTACAGCGTGATCCTTAAACTGGATCCTGTGAGGACACGAATCTTACTCATTTCTTCTTCCCAATGCCCAACAGTAGCATCCCAGAGGGGCTCACAAAAAAACAGACTGAATAGATGGAAAAAACAGTACACTCAGGCAAAAAACTGGACAAAGCAGCAAAACTGATAGTTTCTTCAAGGAGCTTCCATTAAAGGGCAACTTTGGGGGAAGAGCAATTTTTAGCTTTTTCCCTTTTTTTGATCAGGGGAACAGCTCTTACGGCCAGCAGTTGGGTCCAGAGTAACAGCTTTCCAACCTTCAGCTAGCCAGCCATACGTTTGAGCATTATTTTAAAAGGTAAAAGGAAACAATAAACCATGTGACACTAAGGTCATCTTTGCGCCATTAGCAGGGTAGCATGAAATACCATTTCCCCGTCCTTCAGGCCACCTAGCTCATCTGTGAAAGGAAGGGATTTAGCTCAGGGGGACAGACACCATCTTAAACCCAGTCTCTGGCAGTAAAATAGCTCTTCCATCAGGGCAAGGGGAAGAGCGTACAAAAACAAGGTTATGCAGAGCAGCTGCAGGGCGCTAAAGCAAGCCAGGTCACCGGATTATGAGAATCAGGTTATCAGGACGTAGGTTGGCCTCCCGTGGGCCACGAAGTCTGGTCCTCAGCTCCCCCCTAGGCCCGGCAGCAGAGCCAGTCTCGGACACCTGGGAGCAGAGCCATGCAGGTTTGTGAGACCTTCTCCAATCCACTTAATCTCGCTGTGGATATCCTACCCCACAACCAGTCTGGCATCCACATGCAAAAGCCCAGCAAATGTAATAAATATTACAGTTCTAAAGAAAGGCTTCTCAGAGGTAAGAATAAGGCACACTGTTGTATGTGGCATTACTTCCAGAGTGGGGGCCAGGGGAGGGGAGGGATAAACAATCAAGTTGTTTAAAAAAAAAAAAAAGAATCCTACTGACACTATTACTCAAGGGTCCTACATTCATGGTACAAACCACATTTCAAATAGACATCTTCGATTTAAGATGGGTTTGGGTCCATGGGATGCCTGGGTGGCTCAGTCAGTTGAGTGTCTCAGGTCATGATCCCAGAATCCTGGGATGGAGCCCACCAGGCTCCCTCCTCAGAAGGGAGTCAGCTTCTTCCCCTCCTTCCTGCTCGTGCTCTCTCAAATAAATTAAATTAAAAAAAAAAAAAAAAAAAAAAGGTAAGATGGAGTTGGGTCCTGATAAATCCATTGTTAAGTTTAAAATATCCTTAAGTTGAAAATGCATTTAATACACATTACCTGGGGCATCTGGCTGGCTCAGGCTGTGTAGCATACAACTCTTGGGATTGAGTTTAAGCCCCACCTTGGGTATGGAGAGAACTTAAAAAAATATGTGTGTGTGTGTGTGTGTGTGTGTGTGTGTGCGCGCGCGCGCACGCGCACGCACAAAACCTACCAACCACCATCATCTTGCCTTGCCTATCTTAAATGTGCTCACAACACTTACATTAGCCTACAGTTGGGCAAAATCATCCAACATAGAGCCTATTATATAAAGTGATGGATACCTCATACAATTTATTGAATACCTTACTGAAAATGAAAAACGAAATGGTTGTGTGGGCACTAAATGGTTTTAAGTGTATCTGTTGTTTACCCTTCTGATCAGGTGATGGGGCTGGCAGTCGCCATAGCCCTGCCCAAGCATTATGAGAAAATATCTTCAGGCATATTGCTAGCCTGGGAAACAATCAAAATTCAAAGTTCAGTTTCTACTGAATGCATATCACTTCCGCACCAGCATAAAGTTGAAAAATCTCAAGCCCAGCCATCGTAAATCAGTACTGCCTGTAAATCATTTTTCAAATAAAAGTCAAAATAATCAACAATATCCAAGTGCCATATTAACTCTAATGAAAAACTGAGAACTTCAGTTTATAACCATTTATCTTCTTGCAGGTAGAAAAACCTCTGAACCCCAAAAGTAGTTTAGCTGGGGTGTAAACCAGATCTTCTAACATTTTGGATCTCTGTAAGACTAAAAGAAGAAATTATGGAAAGGCACAAGCCAACCCATTCACTGGGCCTCTCCATAACTCCAGAAGATTCATATATAATAGTGCTTTGCGACAAGAGAAGAAATGAATGGTTAGGTGTTTGGTTAGACTAAATCATTCTCCACCTACATCAGTAAGAAAAACTTGACTTTAATAATCTTGTGCAATTTAAAGAATTGCTTTTAGGGGCACCTCGATGGCTCAGTCAGGCGTCTGCCTTCAGTTCAGGTCATGATCCCAGGGTCCTGATATCAAGCCCCACCTCAGGCTCTCTGCTCAGTGGGGAGCACGGTTCTCCCTCTCCCTCTGCCCACTGCTTCCCCTGCTTGTGCTTACTCACTCTCTCTCAAATAAAGAAATAAAATATTTAAAAACAAAGAACTGCTTTAAAAAAAAAAAAATCAAGGGATGGTTTCTAAATATTCTCCAATAAAAGGAACCTTTATTCCTTGGAAAAATGGGGTTGGGGCTGAGAAAATACAAGACAAGCTGGGAACATCTATCTAGGTATATTGTACCAGAAATTAAGGAAGTGCTCCAAAAAAACATTGAGGACATATCAAAAAAACACAAGAGCCAACTTAAAGGAGCTCCCAATTGCCAGAGCTGGGACAATTTGAGCAACAAAAAATAAATGATAGCACTGACCCATGGAATTAAATATCCCTGAGTCCACACTGACACAAATGTTAAAAAATGGGGGAGAAGTCACAGCTCCTCCTTACAGGATTCTAATTAGCATAAATATAGAATAGACCTAGCAAATAAACATTTGGCAAACGTCATAGTAGTATTTGTCATAAGCAGTAACAATCCAGATGTCAAAATTAATGAACCGAAGATTGATAGCATGAAAGTATACCCCTCCATGAATTACTTATTATTTACAAAGGGGAAAATCAGCAAAGTTAACTATACAATGGAGAAATCTGGCAGACACTACCTTTACACCACGTGATCAAAGTCCACATCACCAGTACATAAGACATATGGACATCATGTATCCTTATACAATGCACTGAGAAGGGCCCTGAACTCTTGTGGTATTCTTAACGAGAAATAATCTCAATCTAATAGTGAGAAAATAGGAGGCAAATAAAATTCAAGGAGCATTCTATAAAATACTTGGCCAATACTCTCCCAAAGTGTTAATCATAAAAAATGAAGACTGAAGAACTCACAGGCTAGAGGCCTAAAGACAACTTAATGCAATATGGGAACCAGGACTGGAGGCAGAGCCAGAGAAAAAAGGATATTCCTGGAACAACTGGCACGATCCATAGATTAATGGTACTGTATCAATATTTAGTGAGTTTTTTTAAGTAAAGATTTTATTTGACAGAGAGAGAGATCGCAAGTAGGCAGAGAGGCAGGCAGAGAGAGAGGAGGAAGCAAGCTCCCCACTGAGCAGAGCCAATGTGGGGCTCGATCCCAGAACCCTGAGATCATGACCTGAGCTGAAGGCAGAGGCTTTAACCCACTGAGCCACCCAGGCAACCCAATATTTAGTGTTTTTGATAATCATACTATGGTTATATAAAATGTTGACATTTGAGGAAAGCAAAGTGAACCAGTATATGAAAACTCTACAATTTTCACAAAAGTCTAAAATTATTCCAATATAAGTTTTTAAAAAATGGAACATATAGGAAGGAAGAAGGAAAGAAGGGAAGGAAAGGAAGAAACATGTTAGGGGAAAATAACCAATCAACTGTGATTAAAATTAAATGGAGTGAATTTAAGATTTATACATTTTGTTCATCTTAAAAGTTTTAGAATGGTTTGAGGGGCGCCTGGGTGGCTCAGTGGGTTAAAGCTTCTGCCTTTGGCTCAGGTCATGATCCCAGGGTCCTGAGATGGAGCCCCGCATCAGGCTCTCTGCTCAGCAGGGAACCTGCTTCCCTTCCTCTCTCTCTGCCTGCCTCTCTGCCTACTTGTGATCTCTGTCAAATAAATAAATAAAATCTTTTAATAAATAAATAAATAAATGAATTCTATAGAATGCTTTGAATTGACACTGATGATATGTGGTTAAAGTGTTCAGTTTCCCTTCAACAAAGGAAAAAAGTACACAAACATGACTATCCAAAGTCTTACATTGAGAAACAACAGAAGTATGGAGGGCAAATAATCAAGTCAACGATTGCTACTGGCAAAGCAGTCACTGGCAAATAAAACTAGTTTTAGCTGCATTAGGAGATCTTCACCAAACCAAATTTTGGACCAAACTCTTAGAACATAATCTAATTTTTTATACTACAAAAATGCCTGTGTGTGTATATTTTTAACACAGAAATCGTGGGGTGCCTGGATGGCTCAAGTCAGTTAAGCAGCTGCCTTAGGTTCAGGTCACGATCCCAGGGTCCTGGGATGGAGCGCCCCCCCCCCCACCAACCTCAGGCTCTTTGCTCAGTGGGGAGCCTGTCTTTCCATCTCCCTCTGCCTGTCACCCCCACCCCCGCTTGTGTTTTCTCCCTCCTTTCTCTATCAAATAAATAAAATCTCTAAAAAATAACACATCCTGACCCCGACACTCAGAAGAGCTAGGTGAACAGCCTTGTTAGGGGCTCCAAATTCCTTTCAATCTGCCCCCAAAGCCATACCAGTATTTTCTGTGATGTGAAAAGAAAAACTGGGAAGCACTGGCTTAAACTAACATTTCAAATCGCAAAAAAAGCATCTTGAATAATCTCATATCCAACTTGAATTCATGTGGAAAAGTCTAGGAAAAATTGCTTTTGAATTGGCTTATCTCAGTACGTTTTCCCTTTTGAAGGTGAAATACTGGACAACTAAGCTCATGGGAATTCTCTACAAATCATAGAAGTTCCACTAATACTAAAAATGGTGAATGTCACATTTCTAATTCAGAACTTGAGCATCTTCAAACTGATGAAGCAAAGGACTCCCAATTTGGAGGGGAAAGTATTTCAAAATGAGCTTGGCAAAGAGAGGAGTATCTAGGTATATTGTACTATGCCTCAGGCAGAGAAAAGTTCTCAACTCAAAGGGACGACTATAATGTTAATTACAAATCAGTATTTGATTCAGTAGCCTGGACTATGTAGACTGGCGAAATGAGTAGTAATTTGAGGACAAAACATCATTAAAACCCATTTTCAAAACCCTTTCTTATAAAGTTTTCACTCATTTGACCAACTTTACAAATTTGGGACATCTTAAGAACTAAAAATCTTTAAGTAATCTCTATACCCAACATGGGGTTCAAACTCACAACCTTGAGATCCAGAGTCCCAGGCTTGAGGAACCTGGGTGGCTCAGTCAGTTGGGACTGGACTCGTGATTTTGGTTCAGGTCATGATCGCAGGGCTGAGACTGAGCCCAGTCGGTTATGCGCTGGGTGTGGAGCCTGCTTAAGAGTCTCTCTTTCCCTCAGCCCATCACTCTCCTCCCCAACCTTAAAAAAAAAAAAAGGGGGTAGGAGTCCCATGCTCTATGGACTAAGCCAGCCAGGAACCCCATGGGCTAAAAATCTTTAAGGCAGAGAAGTCCCAAACCTTGAGAAATAAAAAAGGGTAAATCAAATACCGTTATGATTATATGGTTCACAAAGACCCAAGCCCCACTGGAATTTATTCTTAGATCTGCACCCACATGAAATACTCTCTAAATAAGCGGCATTTCAAATTAAACACTTACATCCTTGATATTGGGCTCTACCTACTTTGCAAATAAAATTATGCACTATCCGGCCAGGTTTCTAAAGAGTTAGCACAGTGCCTGGAACCTAATAAGCACTCATAATCAAGTATCTGCTGAATGATTTAACAGTGGCTCAACCTTCTCTGGGAAGCATTATGAATTCCGGCCCATCTTTTTCTTCACAGAGGTCATGGCTGTCCGGCCCTAGATACAAAAGCAAGCCTGAACTATCTCATTTCAGCAAACTTTCTAAAACCAGCTGTCATCTCACCTCATACAACTCCTTATGCTCCAAATCTTTCATAAAACACAGAAGACTCAAATCATACTAATAAATAGCACTAGAAGTGATGCTCAACAGGATCTCACGTTTATTGAGAAGTGATTAATGGTAAAAAGAAAGGCAATACCCTTTCCTCATTGGCTGAACAATAAACTGAAGAAACATTCACTACACGTTTTACAATATTTTTCTCTTCCAAAATGCATTTCTGTAAACAAGTTTTTACCACTGTTCTTAGCTTTGAAATCAAATTAATCCTGACTTAATCAGTATAATGTACAAGAACAGAAAGTTTCTTAGGACTCCTAGTACTTTACTTTGAGTAACAAAGGGTCAGAGAAAATGAACCACCCTTAAAGACACAACCTTGGGTAACACTGTTAAATTCTCCAAGACAAAAATTCTTCATAAAAATGTTCTTCCAGTTCGGAAGGGAAAAACCAAATTCCCACTTTCTGGGGTGGAGGCCCAAAATCTTCGAAACTCAAGTGTTCTCCAAGTGCAAATGTCAAAATGGGGAGAGGAAAGGGTTTAAAAATTAGAGAAAACTGTATGCACTTACGGACTTTAAAATCCGAAAAACATAGTAAAAAGACAAAAAAACAAAGCATTATGCTCTGAAATCACAACCAAAGCCAAAATAAAAGGGACATTTTTCACCTAAACTACCTAGAGGGATTTTTTGTTTAGTTTTTTCTTTTTCTTTTTTTTTTCATTTTCCAGTTAAGTCCTATGTCTTTTGTGAAATTCCAATACTTAAACTGCAAGTCTGCAATCGTCTCTGAAGTCAATGAAATTAAGAAAAAAGTCCTAATTCTCTTGAAGGTCATTTTTTTCCTCTTAGGATATGCAGATGCAACCGTTGCTGCAGTCTGTGCAGAACTGCCTTCTATTTGCCACGACCTTGACGTTCCTACAGAGATTAAAAAACAAACAAAAAAATTGAAATGGTTAGTTAAGACTTATCTGAACATGCTTAAGAATTAAAACTTTAAAGTAACTCAACAAAAATTTAGTTATTTGTGCTGAATAGAATATACCTCACAAATAAAAACTTTTACTTCCTATATTTTAAACCAAAGTAGTAAACAATCATCCCAATTAATACAAAATTGTTTTTCCTTGACTTTAAAATTTCTTGCATGACTTAAACAGATCTGTTTTCCAATTACAGTTGGCTTAGGCTAACACTTGTCAATCCTCCCAAATATGGGCCTAATGGAAGTAACTCAAACCATTCATCAAAAGCCTAAAGAAGGGAAGCAGCATATAAAGTATACTAAAAAAAAACTCTAAGGGGCATCTGGGTGGCTCAGCTGGTTAAGCCACTGCCTTCAGCTCAGGTCATGATCCCAGAGTCCTGGGATTGAGTCCCGTATGAGGCTTTTTCCCCTGCTCTGTAGGGAGCCTCCTACTCCCAATCCCTCAGCCTCTCCCCCTGCTTTGTGCTCTGTCAAATAAATAAATAAAATCTTAAAAAAAAAAAAAAAACACAACTCTAATAGTACTAGAGTCATTCTATACTAGTGCTAAGACCTTAGGCATACTCAGAGGCCTCAAATTTCCCTTTTTTGTAAAGTGAGGAAACACATCTCACAGAGCAAAAGCCTGGGTAGCTCAGTTGGTTAAAGCCTCTGACTTTGGCTCAGGTCATGATCTCAGGGTCCTGGGATCGAGCCGTGCATCAAGCTCGTGCTCGAAAGGGAAACCGTTTCTCCCTTTCCTGTTCCCCCTGCTTGTGCTCCCTGTCAAATAAACAAATAAAATCTTTTAAAAATAAATAAATAAAAGCAAAAACATTAAGTGGTTAGGAGCACACAGGCCTGAACTTAGACTTGATTCATCAATCTGCTTGAGTATTTATCCATGGTAAAATATGATTCCTACTAAAAAGAAGAGCAACTACCACTTATGGGTTTCCATGTTCCAGACACTGTACATAATAATGATCTTCATAACCACGCTGCACAGACTGTATTATTCCTAAGAAAACTAAAGCTCAAAAAATTTCCTTGACCAGTATTACTAATAAGAATCAGGATTCAGGGGTGCCTGGGTGGCTCAGTGGGTTGGGCCTCTGCCTTCGGCTCGGGTCATGATCTCAGGGTCCTGGGATCGAGCCCCGAGTCGTCGGGCTCTCTGCTCAGCAGGGAGCCTGCTTACCCTCTCTCTCTGCCTGCCTCTCTATCTACTTGTGATCTGTCAAATAAATTTTAAAAATCTTAAAAAAAAAAATCAGGATTCAAACCTAGGGCCATATATAGGCTCTTTCTCAATACCATGTTATTACAAATGCTTATGTAAAAGTCAACGAAGTGAAACTTTGTGATGAATTGACTACCCCTATGGCTAAATTAATCCACAGATACAAAAACAGTATTCAGAAAGCAGTTATCTTTTCTTTTAAAGATTTTATTTACTTGAGAGAAAGCACAGACACACTCGTGAGTGGGAGAAGGAGCAGAGGGGGAGGGAGAGGGACCAGCACTCTGGACTCTTCAGTGTTTCTTTCTTTTTTTTTTTTTTTTTTAATTTATTTGACAGACAGAGATCACAAGTAGGCAGAGGCAGGCAGAGAGAGAGGAAGGAAAGCAGGCTCCCTGCTGAGCAGAGAGCCTGATGCGGGGCTGGATCCCAGGACCCTGGGATCATGACCTGAGCCAAAAGCAGAGGCTTTAACCCACTGAGCCACCCAGGCGCCCCTCTTCAGTGTTTCTTGATTCATCGCTTCTCGGCCTTTTGGCTAAGATCAAGTTTTCTTGATTCGATCTAATTCCCATGCTTTTATTATTTTTTAAGCCAGGAACATGTGGCCTTCTGTCCCTCAACGTATACACCTTCTTTAAAACTTCTTTAACCCCCACAGCTTTCAATGTCTTTTTAAACTTGCATCCACAATTAAAAATTAAATTGCACTGTCTTGTTTTATGTAAAATTAGTCCCAACTCAATCAAAAAGCTCTTAGAAAGATGATGTCTTCAACTAACCTCACTCACAAGCTACAGGAGTTTAGCAGTAGGTAACATGCTACAACTGACTTTTAAATAAAATTCTGGTTATTTTTTCTTTTCTTTTTCTTTTTTTTAAGTTTCATTTATTTAAATAGTCTCTACACCCAACATGGGGTTCGAACTCACAAGCAGGAGATCTAGAGTCATCGCGTGCTCTTCCAACTGAGCCTGCCAGGTGCCCCACAGGTTTATTTTAAATTACGCAAATTAGGGGCGCCTGGGTGGCTCAGTGGGTTAAGCCGCTGCCTTCGGCTCAGGTCGTGATCTCAGGGTCCTGGGATGGAGTCCCGCATCGGGCTCTCTGCTCAGCAGGGAGCCTGCCTACCCCCCTGCCTGCTTCTCTGCCTGCTTGTGATTTCTGTCAAATAAATAAAATTTAAAAAAGAAAAAAAAAGAAAACATCACACTGATACAATTAAGCAAGTTCGATTAACTGCTGTTCTATTTCCAAGTAGTTTTGAAGTGGACACAAAAAATAAGCTTATATAATTACAAATAATAAAGATAACATCCATCTTCTCAGTATAAAGATACTTAAGCATTTCCATACTATCTTGAAAAGTAAAATAGATTTGGCACCAATAAAAAAAAAAAACACCAGATTTTATTTTTTTAAGTAGGAAAGGAAAATAGCTTTACAACGGAGAACGTAGTGAACACTTTAAATAAGTGATCAAAATAACATTCCCAATAATGGCATAAACAGCCTCCTAATGTGAGGCACTGAGGACACAAAGTCGCTTCTGTAGTATTCCTGCCAGAGAAACACAATCAGAATGTACTTAATGAGGAAACCTTAGACAAACTGAGGTGCATTCTACAAAAATAAACAGCATATACTCTTCAGAAAGGCAATGTCATAAACAAAGCACCTGGGTGGGTGGGGTGTGGTATGCGTATGAAAACACTGCAGATTAAAAGAGATCAAAAAGACATGAAAACTACAAGATCCTGGACTGGAACCTGGATCATTAAAAAATGGCTATCAAGGACATTAAGACCTACTGGTAAAATACAAATAAGATTTGTAAATAACAGTTCTGTATGTCAATGTTAAATTTCCCGACGCTGATTAACCACACTGTTGGTTAT